GTAATAATCAGGCATGATAGCTGAGTTTTAACAATCATCTTGACCCATGAATGACAAAATACCAGTATTTTCAAAAATGAGATCTGAATTTTATTTTATTGGGAAAATTTCACTCAGAGCTTACATGTACATGTATGCACAACAGTGAAAAAATACCTATCATGAAACAAAATTCAAACAGGGATTTATAATATATTATCAAATATTATTGCATGACCAAATAGCAAGAAAGAGAGTTGTAAATAATGATATTCCAGGCATTTGAAAATCAGATTAAACTATGGGTGTTGACAGCAGAACTCCGTAGGTACATATGAAACAAGATGTTCTTTCTGGCAGTCTTTAAACTTATGTCTGCAGATGAATGCCCGGTATGACTTTTGTTGTACTCCTAGGCAAAAATATTGGTAGACAACGTGAGACAAATTATGTTGATACTATCCAACCAAGAAATAACTCAACAACTTTCAAAACATTACAGCTGAACATTCAAAGGATACTTTCTGCACCCATTTACTAGAGCTGTCCTGTCAAGTCTACTTTGGGAGTTTTTGTAAATGGTTATTTAGGAACTTGCCCTTGAGCACGTGCCTGCTCATATGACACTATTGTCATTGTTATATTGTTATATTTAAGAGGCAGTTTCTTTTAAAATTCAGAATATCCCTCTAAACTTTACACCATTTCTCCATAGCTTTCAGCATCAAAAGCCTTCCTTGCTTTCTTGAGTTCTTCATTCATAGTCAAGAGATCCTAAAATAAAGGAAAATAAAGAGGAGCAATTGAAAATTTTAGAAAAATTATATTGAATTTCAACTTAGTTATTTTAAAATTCTTTAATGGGATATAATGTATTTATCTGATCAGTCCTTGAAATATAGCAAAGTGCGATGAAGAATGAAGAATCTATAAATCAAAAAATAATTATATAAATAAATCTGCTATCACAGGACAAATTCCTCACTTTGACTCTGGCATATTTCTTTGGATCCTTCCTGATCAAGAAGACGATATCCTCGACATGCACCTTTCCTTTTTTACCAACTTCCATTGCCTTTAGTGTCTGGAGAAAATACATAGAATATTTTATGTTCAAGATGGGTTCATTTTAAATAAGATATCAACAAAGTTGTTTCTACATCAATATGCTAAATCAGGACTCGACTTCCTGGAAAAAACCTTGGGGCCAGCTGGCCCCCAAGTTTTCAGATTTAGTTGCCAGCAAAAGTATTTCAGTGGAAAGCGTGAAAAGTTATCGCCAGTGAAAGAAAATTGGTCGCATTGGCGACCCCAGCGGTCGCAATGTCAAGCTCTGTAGATACTTCATTCTATAAAAATTATACAAAGATTGCAATGATGAGTATGATAAGAGATATAACAACTTATCTTTCATCTTTACATATGGGGTTCTTTTACAGACTAGCTGGTTAATTGGAAAACATTCTCAGAGCCTTATTCTGGCTTGAGCATTACAGTTCTCTTGTGCTGGGTACTCATGCACAACCTCTCTCCATCAAATTCAGCCTTTCATCTAGAATCTTTATGGTATTCTTTACTTTAACTGGGCAAACATGCTTAAGGTAACATGGTGTTAAACGAATCCGCAATTTCTGCGAGTCATTTTACCCTTAAGTAGCATATATATACCTCCCATAAGTAAGGAAAGCTGTATGGAATCGGTGATTTATTTAATCACAATAAGCTTAAGGCTATATATGTGTACAACGTCTTGTTTTCTTACCATTTCTGTGATGTATTCTACAACAAGATCTTCCAGCAAATCCACAGATTCAGTAAAAGGTACTTGATCATCACCAAAACCAAACATCATGCATCTCACTTAAAGCAAAAGGAAGGTTATTTAGAGACTCCACTTAAACCTCCACTAACAGACAACTCCTGAAGGCGTATACCTTCCATAAGTGGACACTTAGTAATGGTCCCAGCTACATACTTGTAACCACTGCATTATTTACTTCCCATAATTAGACGTCTCTCACAAATACAAACACTTTTTCTGGTCCCAATGGTGTCTGCTTTTGGAAGGTTCAACTGTATATAAATTGGATCATGTGTAGTAAAGGCATCTGCAGTAGAGTGTCGATCCATACCCTCGATTGATACCCTCGATTGATAACCTTGATCGACACTCCATCGACACCTGGGTTGACACTCAAGCAACAATTGATCGACTTCTCAGTTGACAGTTGGTTGAGAGTCAACTAATTTTTGATCGATGCATATGAGATAGTTGACACTTGGCTGACTATCAACCAACTGTTGATCAAATGTTCATGAGTGCTGACTGAGTGTCGACTGATTATCGATCAGGATGTCAATCAAGATGTCAATCGAGGGCATCGATCAATAGTATCAATTGACACTTAACTGCAGATGCCTTAAGTGCACATGATCCTAAAAATTTAAAGATTTTCTTGAGCATTATTGTTCTGAACATGTCACATGATGCAGCCAAACCTGGGGAATATCAGATGATATCCCCAAACAATATTCTCCAGTTTTTAAAATTTGCTCCTTTCGCCTGGAGGTTCAGTTTTCACCCCTGCTATATTGTTAAAAATTTTAAATAGTACTAAACATTTTGAGCAAAGTAACAATATTTTCTTACACCGCAGAATTATTTTGGCAATAACAGCTTAGATTAAAAAGGTCGCAACACAAGAGCAACAGTATGTAAAAATATCTGAACGATAATAAGCACAATAAACTCATTTGACATGAAAATGCCAGGAAAACTGTCCACTACTCGGAACAAACAACGTCCGCGGAAAAATATCTGTCCGTATTTCGCGCCAAATGGAGGCTATCGTTTCTATTATTTGCTTTCCATTTAAGTTAAAATCAAACATCCACCACAAATAAATAACATTGATATACATTTTCTATTGTAATGGATAACGAAAATTTATCTTCCAACTTACATTCCTTATGGAAAAGCCTTTTACGTTTTCCTGTGGTTTCTGCCTGGTTTGACTCGGATTCGTCCTGCAAACAAAAAGACCTCAACTGGTGTTCGTTCGTTTCAAAGCA